TAATTTGATTCTAATATTCGATCGTTCTCTTCAGCTAATTTCAGAATTCGTTTTGTTCTGACGCTCAACAATTTAATTTCTACAATTTCAACTAAATTTACGACTTTTCTTGGGATTTTCGCGTACTACGTATATTTCAAAACACCAACGCAGCATTTTCAGCTGAGTATTGAAGTACTTTTATATCACCCATGTCTTATCCAAAGCTTGTTTCTGAACAATAACCATTGTTTTCCAATTTTTCTAATTTTTCCGAAAGGACTCGGAAAAATTCCGACTTTTTTCACCTATTTTTTCTTCCGGAAAACTATGAGCCCTACCCCTAACATTTTTTTCTGAAAAAAAAACAAACAAAAACGAATTCTTTTCCAATTTTTCCAGGAAAAAAATCCGACCGGGCGAACCCTACTTTGCCGTAATTAACACTAGAACCGCTGACATTTTCGAATGCCTTGAACCGCGGAAGGGGTCATCTTGACCCCTGCCGCATTTTGCGCGTAAGTGTGAAATTTTGGGAGTAATTATCACTGTGGATGGTCTTGGAAACAAGTATGTGTACGTTAAATGCTTCTTCCTATAATTATTCTGCATGCTCTTCTGAGGTGTTATTTATCTAGATAAAACAGCATTTTCGACGCGTAACGCGGCAGGGCTCATGTTGACCCCTCTGCCGCAGTCCAAGGTTTATCTGTTTCCTTAATTTCAACAAAAATAGTCGTACAGCTTCAGGATTTCGTGTCGATATCTTTGACATCATTTTCCACGATGACAAAAATTTTCAACCCGACGTGAAAAAAATAAAATATAGAAATTATAGACTGAAAATCGAAAAGGGTCAAAATGACCCCTACCGCGTTTTTAGATATATCTTTTCACAACTTCCACAAAAATAGTCGTACAGCTTCGCGATTTTGTGTCGATACATTTGTCATCATTTTACACGATGTCAAAAATCTTCAACCCGACGAGAAAAAAATTAAATACAGAAATTAAAAATCGAAAAGGGTCAAAATGACCCCTGCCGCGGTTCTAATGTTAAGCCCTTTCCGCTATTCAGAAACAATGTGAAAAAGCCATATTCATGCCACAGGAGTTGCCGCTTCTGAACCCCAGGCATTAATTGACGGTTTTTGACTGCGCGACCCTTGTCTTTCAGCAGCGCAGCTTTCACAGCGTTCACCCGGAACTGCTGCCATTTTGGACCATTACTTTGTAGGTGGACCAACTCACCCTGAAACACAAGATTCTATCAGAACACATGTTTTAGTAAAGGTACACACAATGGATTCATGAGAACAAATGTGACCTGCAAGCAAACTTCACTTACAATAAATACACCTGCAGCACAGATATCGATGATTTCCGTCATGAGAGCGAAAAGAAGGCCAGGTTTTTCAAAATGATCAGAGGTTAGGTCATACATATTCATACCTAATTCAAAGTCGGATAATGCTGGATTAATCATTTTCCTAAAGGGTAACACAAAGGAATTAATCGACGACAACTTTATTCAGGGTAAACTTACATTGTTTATTTTACATAATTATCAATCATTAGCAATAAATGAACGTCAGACCACGTCTCGCGTAACAGGCTTCGCGATATCTCACGAAACACTGTTACGCTGCGAAGCTCTTGGTATACATCTACCTAGGCCTGCGGCGCTGACACCCAAATCCAGCAAAAGGCAGAGGCGAAAATAGGCCTTCGGTCCCAAATGTCACAAATTTTGATCACAGTTTTATTTTGACAAGTAACCCCACCGGAGACCACCAAATATCTGAGAAAAAACATTAAAATGTTTGGGGGTCATTTCTGTGTAGAAAACTTCCTGTAGCGCCTAAACGGTTGGAGATAGAGCCAAACGAAAGAAAATTTGGGCCATAAGGTTCTACTTTGTCGAGTGACCGCAAAAGAAATTTTATGAGCTAGAGGGCTGAAAAACAATACAGTTCTTGCTTTGTATGATACATACAGTATAAATAAGAAAAGATAGCAAAAAGAACATGATTCAGATTGGTTAAGACTTCGATTAAATAGAGCGTGGACACGAAAGTGACCGATTCGCGGAGAACTGTTCGCGCAACATTATACAGTTTTGTTTATTATCATGAGTATACAATATTCAACACTGTATTAGGTTTACAGAACCTCCACACCCATGAGCCCATTGTGACTATGCACTCGGATTTCTTTCGAATTTCCACAGTGCACGAAGTGAAACTTTACCTTGACCACTCGTGCACGAAGGCATTCTGAAAGGCAAACCTATACGCGGAACCGTTTCATCCTGCCGTGCACTTATCTCGGGTCAGAAACCGTAGTGACCTTGAGCTTGTTTGAGGCTAGGAGTTGATAGCGCTCCTCGGATAACAAGATGTTTAGCGTTCGCCGCGATGAGGTCATCCTACACCGCCTCTCTTCTTTAGTCGCCCGTCGCACGCCGCGGCCTCAGTTTATCGAGTCCTGCAGGCCAGGCTGTATCATCCCGAGTAGTTTCGGAGCTGCTCCTCACCTTCTGAAATGGAATCCTTGAAGAACAAGGTGGTTGTTATAACAGGTGGGTTTCACATGATGTGTTCGGACATCTGCCGCAGCGTATCTGTAAACCAAAAAAAAACAAAACAAAAAAACAGCTTATAAAGCATTCCGTTCAAGCTAAAATGCAAAAGAATGCGAGGATGAAGAAAACAGAAATCACTATGCTTTTCCGTGGGACTTCCGTTTTCTTGCTCCCTGCATTCTTTTGCATTTCAGCATCACCGAAATGCTTTATTGGCTGAACGATTAGCGAAGCCTGTTATTTCATTGATAATCAAAAAGGTTCGAGTCTGTCTGTGTGTTTGTTTGTAATCGCGATAACTCGACAACGGTTTTAGCTAGATACGTGAATTTTTTTATTGTACCTTTGCATCTTAAAAAGAAAGAACTGTAATAATTTTGAGCTCTCTAGCTCAAAAATTGACGTGTCAAAAAATCCAAAAAAATGAGCCAAAAAAATTTATGGTATATTTTTTCAAGACGTTACTCCTAAAAGTAGAGCCCTTCGGGCCAAAATTTTGACTGTTGGCTCTATCTTTAACTGTTTAGGCGCAATATGGCTACAAAAGGAAATGACCCTAAAACATTTAAATGTTTTTTCTCAGATATTTGATGGTCTCCGGTGCGGTAACTCGTTAAAATAAAACCCCATCGATCAAAATTTGTGACTTTTGGGGCCAAAGACGTATTGACGACTGTACCTTTTGCTCGATTCGGGTGTCAGCGCCGCAGGCCTTGGTAGGTAGATGTATGCCAGGTGCGTGGCAGGGTAATAGTGATTCGTGAGATACCGCGAAGCCTGTTACGCGAGACGTGGTCTGGCGTACGTCTACCTAGTTGTAGTTTAAAATGGATTGCCAAGTACTTTCTGTATGCATGCGTACAAGTGTTTTTGAGTTAGCCTCCTATGGAAAACGAGTTATTTCGCAGGAATATCTTGGGACTTTTCCATTTTCCCTCGAAACGGTCCAAAACTTCCACGGCTTGTTTTAACCATGCATGCACCATGCATTGACATGTCAATCACCTGCCAGCCCTTTCATTGCATTAGCATTCAAATTTTCTGTTAACGTTGCTGTTCCATTTATCTATATCAGGTGCAAGCTCTGGCATTGGCGCAGGAACAGCAGTTTACCTCGCAAAGCAAGGATGCCGGCTGGTCCTTAACGGCAGGAATGAGAAGAACCTTAAGGCAACCGTGCAAGCGTGTGTAGATATCGGACTCAGTCCCGAGCAGGTAAAATGCAGTTGGTCCAAGTTTATCAAACACTGTTTAATATCTCGGCTTTCACATGGCCATAAAAGTAAGATGCTGATCACAAGCAAAAGTTCCTACTGTAAATGGTCTCAATAGGGCGTTTTGGGTAAGCGAAGCAGCGGAAACGGAACGGCCGGGCGGCTGCTGGATCCGTCTCAGCCTGCGAACTGCGCATGCGCAGTAGACTCTGCGCCGCCCCGCCGCCTCTCCCTCTCCCCCGCGCATCAGCAGTAGAGATGAAACGAGCGGTGAACTGGCCGGTCCCGTTTCCGCCGCTCCGCTTGAAGCAGCAGAAACGGAACGGCCGAGCGGCCGCTGGATCCGTTTTAGCCTGCGAACTGCGCATGCGCAGTGGACTCTGCGGCGCCCTGCCGCCTTCCCCTCTCCCCCGCGGATCAACGGCAGAGATGTAACCAGCGGTCAAGGCCAGCGGTGGACTGAGCAGTTATGTTTCTGCCGCTCCGCTTACACGAAATACCCTATTTCCCAAATATCACACTTTTGCCGCAATTTTCTAAGATTGTAACGAGACGTCAAGCAGTGTACTTGCATTTATACAGTGTCGTTGTGCTGGCACGTGTAAGTCTTTGAAATACCGGTCAAGACCTCAGTAAAGCTTTAAAAAATTAAAAAAACGAGGTGAAGTGGTTTTGAAACATTTCAGTGCGTGTACAGTGAATTTCACTTTTTGAGGGTATTCACAGTCGAGGAGGAAATCACTTGCGAAACAGTTCGTACACCTTCCCCCGAAATTGTCGGAAATAAAGGCGAAATAGACCCGATATAGACGCGAAATAGTCGGTGAAATAGTCGCGAAATACCCCTGAAATACTCCGAAATACCGCGAAATACCCTGAAATAATCCGAAATAGGCGAGAAATA